ATATATATATATATATATATATATATATCTTGAACTATAGAAATCACAAACAGGAAAAAATACAAATTCTGTGGAAAATGGGGATCTTGAAGTCAAAAAGGTTGAGAACCAATGCCCTAAGGTCACATAGTGTTTGCAATGTTAGCGGAAATCACAATTTTTATGCTGTAAACTCAAATTAGTAGCCTCAAACATATTTCCCTAGTATTTCCTCAAACATATTTCCCACATTTCCATAGTTCCCTATCGAACAGTCCCGTTGCGATGCTGACGCTTTTGGGGAAACTCCTGTTTACTGAAGCCTGATTTCTTCACGTTTGTGTAGCTGCCCAAATCAATGGTGCTCTAAACTGCCAAAAAGGGAGGAGCCGATCGCTATATAAGCTGGCTCAGAGCGCCATTTCATAAGAATTTTCTCCTTCAGCGATGGGATCATCTCTTCACTGACTCTGCCGAAGTCGAAGAAGAAGAAGCTCAGCCTGCTGCTCACCGCCGTAGAAGAGCCCCGGCAGTGGAAGCTGGCACTGAAAAGGAGCGATTTTCCTGACATGGAGTCATCGATGGCAATCTCCTCCTTGGAAGCGCCGAAGGAAACTAAGCTTCTTGCAGCTGATGTGGGGCGTTGATCCTCCTTTGTGATGCACACTGACGAGGCGATGTGGGGAGAGTGGAGCATGCGGGGGCTGAGCCGGCATGACGACACTCGAGCCCGCTGTCAGAGCCACTGTTTCTTTCTCTTAGGACAGAATGGAATTGCGAGAGCAGAGTGGGGAGTACCGCCTTCATTAAAGACAAGCGAGACTCATATTCTCACAGTGAGAGCATGATGTCTTTAATGCCGAGTTCACACTGCACGATTTTCAAAGTCGTCGGGTCACCGTGGTTTTCACACTGCACGACTACGGCGACGTGTCAGCGATTCCTTCAGATCGCGTCTTTGATTATTCACACTGCGTGATTGTCACTCGCGTGAACGAGCACCGATTTGCCTCCGATTTTGGGCATTTGTCGGCGATTTTGCAAAACCTGTCGGCGAGTGAAAAATCGGGCTAAAATCGTGCAGTGTGAACTCGGCATAAGGCACTGGAGGATCTCGGCTTGGATTGGTCAGCTCCAGAAGATCCCACCCATGGCCTCCTGTTCCTCCCGTCAATGGCTCGCCCCGTTCCTGCCTGCAGTTCATGAAGAACTCCCCCTATTTGGCCCGTTAATCCCTCCACTTCTACTGCTCTCACCACCGTTGATGCTGCTGAAGACAGAGGTTACAGCAAGCTCCCCCCGGTTGCTGCCCACCATCGGCCCCTAGATTAAAAGCCCTTGCAGTGCACCCATCTAAGCCCTGCAGGATGACATCGGCCTTGGCCAACAAGGCTTATGCAGTGGCCGGCCAGGCTGGCTCATGGCTGCATACGATGGCGGTGCTCCAGGTGTTCCAGGCCAAACTTCTCTGAAGCATGAACGAGTCCGGCCCGGTCCAAAGAGCTGCGCAAGGCGATTGACCTGGCTCTGCGCACCACCAAGACAACGGCGCAGGCAATTGGCAATGCCATGGCTAATTTAGTGGTGCTGGAGCGCCACCTTTGGCTGAATCTTACAGGGATCAGGGATGCTGATAAAATCGCCTTCCTCGACTCACCAGTCTCGCCCAAGGGATTATTCGGCCCTGCCATGGATGGGTTTGCTGAGCGCTTCACTGAGGCACAGAAAAAGTCACAGGCTCTGCGTCACTTCTTGCCCAAGCGCTCCAGTGCTGCAGCTGCTTCAAGTCGCCAGAAGACCCCTTCCACTCAGCAGCCTGCAAAGCCGGTGCCACCTCAGCCCCAGCAAAAATCTGAGCCTGGGCTTCAGCAGCGCCACCGGATGGCAAGACGGTATCCCTACCCGAAGTGCCAAGAGGAGAGGGTCAGTTCTCGCCGAGGCCGGAACTCCCTTGATGAAAGCTCTCTCATTCTCCACCCCGCCGACCATTTCTGAGCGTTGGAGATTTTATTCTAGCTGGGCACGTCCTTCAAGTTCAGCGCGTACCCAAGCAAATTACCAGGATACTCAAAAGAGCATTTCTTCTCTCCTCATATCCACAAATGCCAATACCCTGCCCCCATGCAGCAAACTACCATTCGTAAAAATAGAACCACTTGCCATCCGGATCCAGGCGTGGGAAGCCATCCCGGATGTATCTAGCTGGGTTCTAAATTTCATAAAATAAGGTTACTCGCTCCAGTTCATTCGCAGGCCACCTCATTTCAGAGGTATTACTCAGACTTTGGTACAGGACAGCGAAACTCATGGTGGCGTCATTCAAATTAGGGACTTCACGACCCCTCAGGCCTTATGTCGGCTGCCTCCTCTGTGATTCCTCTAGGTCTGCTCTATATGCGGCCTCTCCAGTATTGGCTCAAAGCCCGTGTTCCATCCCACGCCTGGCACTTGGGCTGTTCTTATATCAGGGTAACCCATCGCTGCATCAGAGCTGTGGCCCCCTGGACAACGGTTTCTATCAGGCATTCAGCTGGGACTGACCTTCAGGAGGAGGGTAGTTATAAGAGACGCATCCAATTTGGGTTGGGGAGCTCCTGGTCATGCATGCATATCAACTGCCTCAAGAGTGCAGTTTGCCTGAACTGGCAGAAAACCTTCCTGCCAGCCTTAAAGGGGTTGTGTTGGACAGACTCAATCTAGGAGCAGATATACTGTCCAGAATGAGCCTTGCATGGCTTGCTGTGCTATAAGCTGCACACAAACCAATGACTGTCTCCTCAGTCGAAAGATTCTGATGAAATGGCGCTCTGAGCCGACTTCTGTAGAGATCGGCTCCTCCCCTTTTGGCAGGTTAGAGCGCTATTGGTTTGTGCAGTTACACAAATGTGAACAAATCAGGCTTCAGTAACATTGTAAACAGGCAGTGACACATTTGTTCTCTTATCTCAGGGAACCGAGGTTACAGTAGTAACCGGAGCGTTATGGATAGTTAATGTTTTGTGTCAGTCTTTTGTAACCTGCATAGATGACAAGATTGGACTTTCGTTAGCAAGCAGCTTGATGAAATGAAAAGCTCATCTTTGTGTCCGACCATTGTAACACCTACAGTGTTGAATGATGATCTGTAAACAGGTCTACTATTACTCTGGCCTCTTCATTTCAGTACACCGCCACTCAGCCAATCAAATCCGAGAAGTGGAACTGTATGATTTTATAGCAGTCCTAAAATTAAAACTGTATTTATGCATACATAGCGAAATGGACTAACACTTGCCACTACTAACCAGATTCTATGGTTAAAGGGTTACTGTGCGAGAAATCTGATCTTATTGTCATTGCTCTCTTAAAATGCTTAAGTGAACATGTAGATTCCACTATTGTCAACCCCAAACTGAGATTCTCTCATTAAAGAGAATAGTTGTAACCTCCTATTCAGGGAGAGGTGCATCACTGAATCACTGTAAATTAATTGTCAATACCATAGAATTACCACAATTAACAAATACAACAAACTTAAAAGTGCAGCTATACTTGACATATCAGATCATGCTTAAGATTCTTTGGTAAAGACAAATCTTATTTACATAAAATTGAAGGTCCAATATATGAATAAAATAATTTATTTTCATTTCTGTTTGCTGTTAATGATCAAGAGAAGGTTTTGTTTTTATTTTTTACTCATTCAGCTGTTCCTTGTTAATTTCTACCCAACAAAAAATTTAAGCTTGACATATTGGGGGGGCATCATTTAAGGTCTAGAAATCAACACTTTTAAATCAAACTTGCATTGTTTTTGAGAAAACAAATTAAATGTCAGCTTCCATCTTTATTTTCAGTCCTTTCCCTGAGCGGAGAAGCACTGATCCATGATACAGCCGAGTCACAAGAAATACTGAATGTGAAATTTTAGCAAGAATCAATTTTTAATACTAAGTTGACTGGTAAACAATCACTTTATTTACCTTCATCTGGCAAGGTACATTAGCAAAACAAGCTTCTTGAATTGTATACTTTGGCTTTAAGACAAAAATGTCAAGAAAAACAACCTGCAAACTGTCACATTTAACAACAGAACTGACTGATGCGGTACAACTGTAGGAAAGACCTTCAGATAAAGGCTCACAAAACTCAATACGCTCTTAGCAAAGTGTTAATGTGATAACGCAAAACAAATCCACTAATCCAGATGTGCTCATAAATCAAAACAAGTGAGACAAAAATCAGGTCATTAATTCAAACCAAACTGCTAAAATGTATGTCTTGATTAATACTCTGTCCTACAGATCAAACCTAGTTTTCAGAATGTGACTTTTTTTTTTCTTTCGCTTTACCGCAATGCTACCTTAATCATTCAAGATTTTAACAATGTGGAGAAATGAATAAAATAACAAATATAAAAATAAATCTACATAATAGAACTTAAGGTGTAAGAGTAGTTATTCCCATTCCTCGTCATCTGCAGCCGCTGCTGGGCTTGGGGCAGATGCTTGTGGTGGCTCATCCGTCTTGAAGGATCCCCCCTAAAAACAAAAGCCAGGGAGACATGCATCAAATTACTACAAATTAAGTTCAGAACAGGGGTTCAGGCAGTCACATGAGAAGTGATATGCATACCTTTCGAGTGTCTGTAGACGCAAACACTTTTCCACGAGGGTTGAAGCCTGTTGTCCCATGAGCACTGAAAGCAATTTCCTCCAGCCATTTGGGAACCTCCTGTTGGGCCTGAGAGATGAAAGTTTATGTTGTTTTATTGAGATCTGAGTGTACTGGACATTCCCACACAGAATCTGCAACATTTATCATTAAAAATATTCCATTATTTTTATTTGTGAGCACATAAAATATGGTAAACCAATGTTTTTTGTAGAATGTCAAGCAAACACATTTGATTATTTACCATATTTAACGTGCTCTGTTTTTGAATGCTCAATATTTATGTGGATAAAAACCTAATTTAAATCTGTTCTTCATATAAAGTAATTTTATAGGCACAATATGAATGTGCACAATTAAATAAGATTGCATAATTAAAGAATAAACACTGCTGTTAAGTGCCTTGGACGGAATATGAAAAGTACGAACCCCTGACAGAACTTTGACTAGAGAGCGAGCTAATGGAGTGTCAGACTCTGGGATAAAAAAGGACACGGCCTGACCGATGTTCCCGCAGCGTCCAGTTCTTCCGATGCGATGGACGTATTCATCGATGCTGCTGGGCAGGTCGAAATTCACAACATGCTGGACCTGCTCAATGTCCAGACCTCTGGCAGCGACAGACGTGGCCACCAGCACCGGACACTGGCCTGTGCGAAAATCACTGAGAGCCTTCTCTCGCTCTCGCTGTTCCCGATCACTATTCAGAAAAGAAATAAAATTCAATTAAAAGCTTTGGACAGGGAGTATTTGTAATAACATGCATCTATAACTCGGACTGGGTATCGATCAAAAATGTTCGATATCGATACCGATACCTTGACTTCAATACCGGTTCCTGAACGATACTTTTTTCGATACCAATTTTATGAAATCCATTTTAACAAGATTACATTACTACGGAAGAGGATTAGGGCCAAGCAATAATAAAAAAATTAAACCATCTTGTGATTAAAGTCATTATAATTAGGGCTGGGTATCGACCGAACTGTGTCGGTACTATCGAGTATCAAAAAATATCTTGTCGTTCGGTACCAAATTTCGATACCTAAAGGGGTTAATCTCGTCAATGTCAGTGAGCCAGTAAGCGTGCAGCACGCTTAATGTGCCTAAATCATGTGCTGGTGATTGACTCTGGCGAGGCATCCAGGAAAACGCGCGTTTCGTGACCATTCATTCACACTGTAGCATCATGCCATTTAAGACAATTTATAACATTTATACAATGCTTTTACTCAAAACTCACTTTAAACCACCACAGTGTGTTTGTAATAACCTCCGATTGTGATCTAATGAGGGTTTTGGTCATATAATGTTACAGAAACATGTTATTTGTAGCCTTTTATATCATGCTAATTGCTACACCTGCTTAGCATTTCTCATGTAAACACACTGTATTGTTATAAAAATAGGCACAATCTCATGAAAATCACATACAAATCATATACTGTCATAATCGCGAGTTTCTTAGCTTCAGGTTTCATCCCTATAAATGTTTTTCTGGAAGTGTAACGCATGCTCATCGTTGGAGACAGGGCGGGATATGAACGTGTAACATGAGCAGTGAATGAGCTCCTCTGAGTCAGAACAGCGATCACGGAAGAGAAAACGCAGCAAAGCGCTGGAAGCAGCATCAGATCGCGTAAATCAGTGGAAAGTGAATAGAAATGATGATTCCGTCTAAGCTATGCGTTTTAAAGCAAAAACACACTAGTGTAAATGTAGCCTAGGGACATTAGTCCTGGGGACATCATCAGTGAAGAGAGGGCTTGTCTGTCTCCTGAAAAAGCAGACATGCTAATGTTTTTTTTTTGAAGAAGAAGAACTACTCCTGGGTGATTTAAAGATCTTAATGTATGCAGCAGTGAGCCTCACATACTGACTTAAAATGTTCATTTTGCACTGAAAGCTATTTGAACTTTATTAAAACTATTTGCACTGATTTATTGTGTTGGTTAAATTTCGTTCTTTTGTGCAGTGGTTCAGGAGATGAGTCTTTGAGTCTGTAAAAACCTCAACAAACAAACAAAAAATTTGTTTTGAGGTAATGTGTAATGAAATCTTGTTAAAATGGATTTCATAAAATTGGTATCAGAAAAAGTATCGTTCAGGAACCGGTATCGAAGTCAAGGTATCGGTATCGATATAGAATTTTTTTTAACGATACCCAGCCCTAATTATAATGCGAGATTAAACTTGTTAAATTTAGAGAAAAAAAAAGTCGAAATAAAATGTTGAGAATAAACTCATTAAATTACGAGAAAAAGTCTTATTTCGAGAAAAAACTGGTTAAATTGAGAAAGTCTAAATTAAATTTTGAGAATAAGCTAATAATTTTAGCGATGTGCTATTTACACCAAGTGAAAATAGCGATTCTATTTACGCTATGTAAAAGTAGCAGATCTTTGCAATAAGTGTAGATAGTAATTAGATGCTATTTATACTTATAGTGACAGATAATATTTGCACCTCAGTATTGTTGTACATTAACAGTATACAATAACAGTGTAAATAATTTTAATTAAAATTAAATAGAAGCTGCCTTATTGGTACAAAGCCCTCCCTATAGCCTACTAACCCTACCCAACCTACCCAATCAATACATTATTAAACATTCGTTAGGCAATTAATTTCCACTTTTCCGATGTGATGTGATGAAAAAAAAAGAAGAGCGAGATCTGCAAAAGGCGGATTCGAACTCCAGTCGACCGCACACGCTTCATCCACGAGCATTGCTCTCTACGACCTCTACGCAACTGCAGACGCTGATTAACACTCTCCAACGAGATGACAAGTGTTTATTCCCAGCATTTTATTTCAACTTTTTTTTTCGAAATTTAACGAAAATGTTGAGAAACTCATAAAATTTCGAAATTAAAGTCGTGTTGACTTTATTCTCGAAATTTAATGAGTTTCTCAACATTTTATTTTGACATTTTTCTCGAAATTTTATGTTTAATCTCACATGAATTTAATCTCGAGATGGTTTTAATTTTTTATTATTGCTTGGCCCTAATCCTCTTCCGTACATTACCTCATAAAACTACATTTTTTGTTTGTTGAGGTTTTAACAGACTCAAAGACTTCTCTCCTGTGCCACTGCATAAAGGAACAAAATTTAACCAACACAATAAATCAGTGCAAATAGTTCAAGTTCAAATAGCTTTCAGTGCAAAATGAACATTTTAAGTCAGTATGTGAGGCTCACTGCTGCATACTTAAGATCTTTAAATCACCCAGGAGTTCTTCAAAAAAAACAAAACAAAAAAAAAAACATTTGCATGTACGCTTTTTCAGGAGACAGACAAGCCCTTTCTTCACTGATGATGTCCCCAGGACTAATGTCCCTAGGCTACATTTACACTAGTGTGTTTTAGTGTCAAAAATTCTGATTGGCTAGTAATGTTAGTTTGGTTGAGAGTGAAAGCTGTACTCCTGTCATACTATTGGTAGGCAAACTCATGGACTCGAAAGTGATATCAACAAGTTTTTTTTTAATGTAGGATTATTTTTTTCCGCAGCCAAACTCTGCACGCCGGAGATCCGGCACGGTGCTGGAGAACTTTAAGCCCTGATAGTAAAAAATGTCATAAATTGTCTTATGTAGCATGATGCTACAGTATGCATGAATGGTCACGAAACACGTGTTTTCCTTTGATGCCTCGCCAGAGCCAATCACTGATTTAGGCTCATAAAACAGGCAGTATAGTTACTGGCTCACCGACTTTGAGATTAACCCTTTAGGGATCAAAATTTGGTACAGAGTGACAAGACATTTTTCAATACTCAATGGTATCTAGGCAATTCAGTTGTTGCCTAAAAAGTATCGAACTCGATACTAGAAGTTGCAATGCTACTGAGACTGCTTTGTTTTCTTCAACACAGTATATCAGCAAGAACAGGTTATTGGAGAGAGAAATAAATAGAGAAAGGGACAGGAAAGAAGGGAGGAAAAGAAAAAAAAAAGTACCCATGGATGCTTGTAGTAGAGATCTTCTCCTGACAGAGAAATGTTGCTATGAAATCAGCACTTCTTTTGGTTTCAACAAAGACCATTGTGCGTTCATTCCCTGTAATTGCAAACATAGTGCCATAAAATTTACCAATTTGCTTAGGATATGAACATCAAAGCTAATGTCAGCATAAAGCGGTTAACAACCCATTTTCATTTTATAATGTATCTAAAATATTTGTGAAACAATTTTAAAATAAATAACTGAATAAACATGAATCGCATAATCGGTTACTGCACACAAACTACTGGAAAATCAGTACCAAACTTTATGTACTGCATACAGTACAGTAGTAGCCTAAAGCCACTCAAAAACAATATAGGATGCTGAGTGCATAATCATGCGCTTTATAAAACACACACAAACACACAGAAACATGTGCAATTAATAAATTTGTATTTTTAAAGTTGATTCCCAACCCTACGAAGATACTCATTATTGTGGAAAAGTGTTGAAAAAACTGCTACAATTGATAAAATGTTACAAGTGTGTGAACATTCTTAATCAATTAGTTCCTCAAAAGGTTATCAAATGGCTTTTGACTTTAAAAAAAAATCTACATGTTTATGCTTCAGTAAGTGAATTGCATATGGAAATTCAACAAGCCCTCAATGTAAAATAATTAAATGTGTATGCATGTGAATGCACCTGTAGATCTGAGCAGTTCAAGCAGCTGGTCTCTCTTGGAGTATTGGTCCACCTGAATGATAGTTTGCTCCACATCACTGCATGCTCCACCAACCACACCAACAGCAAGGAAAATGTAGTCCACTTTCAAAAAATCTGCTGCCATCCTATCATACAACACATGATGCATATATCACTCCTGAAGCCATGAAAGCATCACTCTCACTGAATAGAGATGTGCAAAACACACATTTTCAAAATGATCTGTCTTACAGACAAGTTTTTAAGGGGTGTTTACATAAGACTCATTCTTGTATCTAGTGCTGTGTTCAAAATATCGATACGACGATGTATCGTCACGGAGATTTGACGATACGAGCATAGATACAGCTGGCCCTGTATCGATATTGTGGCACGTGTGCAGCAGTGGACCGCGCTTAATTTGTGTAAAATTGCTTGCTTTCTGAAAACACTGGTTAGCTTGCAGTTTAGCGATCTCCACTTCAATAATCTATTCTCAGAAAAGTGTAATTCATCAACTGTTCATTTACGTCAC